GTAACGAGTGGTTATTTCAGTCTAAGTTGCTATTCAATCAGCTTGAATCAGCCGTCCCATTCTCCTCTGACCTCTAGCATCAACAAGGCATTTTCGCCCACAGGACTGCCGCATACTGGATGTTTTTCCCTTTGCACACCATTCTTTGTAATCCCTAGAAATGGTTGTGCGTGAAAATCCCAGTAACTGAGCAGATTGTGAAATACTCAGACCGGGGTGTTCCTAATAATCCTTTAGGTGAGTGTATATAATTACACACAATACATATGTTGTGCTCGGGGCGGGGAAGCAGCACAGGATCCAATCAGATCGGGTGGACATGGGGTTTATTTTAAAGCAGGACAGATGTCAATGACCGGACTGGGGAAACATACTCTAACGCAGACTTAAATACACCAGACTAAATAACAACGAGAAACAGCCGGTAACACGGGGATTCCATGAGGTAGATGAGGGGCCGTGGCACATGGGAGGATCGGACGACTGGGGCATGACATATATATACAAAATAAGGTGCTGGTAAGTTTGAAAGTAAATTTCAATGGTCTAAATGCACATAAACATGGATATTGCACATGTGGGATATTGCATCAAAATGTTCGAGATTAGTGCTGTGAGTTCAGAAGTATGATGGATGTGGGGTAAAAACTGTTCCTCAGCTGGGTTGTGCGGATGTACAGGGTTCTGTAGCGTCTACCAGATGGGAGAGGTGTAAAGAGTTTGTGTCCAGGGTGGGTTGGGTCCTTGATTATTTTTTCAGCTCTGCGGCCACACTGGGTGTGATGGATTTCTTTCAGTGATGGAAGCTGAGTGCCAGTGATCCGCTGGGCTGTCCTGATGATGTGTTGCAGGGTCTTCCTGTTCTCCAAGGTGCATCCAGAGTACCATGCATTGATGCAGTATGTGATCACTGACTCTATGGTGCACCTGTAGAAGTTCACCAGGTGCTGCTGTGAAAGTTGTGCTTTCTTCAGGCTCCGCAGGAAGTAGAGCCTCTGAAGTCCTTTTTTTTGGTATGACTGAAGTGTTTGTGGTCCATGACAGGTCACAGCTGATCTGAACCCCGAGGAATCAAAGGCTCTGAACCACCTCCACCTTCTCATCACTGATGCTAATGAGGTGGTGGCCCCTGTGCTTTTGTCTCCTGAAGTCCAAGATCAGTTCTTTTGTCTTTTTTGAGTTCAGGGCAAGGTTGTTGTCCTGGCTCCAGCATTTCAGGTTTTTGACCTCTTCCCTGTAGGCTGACTCATTGTTGTTCAAGATCAGACCTCTCATAGTTGTATTGTCTGCAAACTTAATTATGAGGTTAGAATCATGGGTGGGTTTGCAGTTGTGTGTGAAGAGGGAGTAGAGGAGGGCGCTGAGTAAACAGCCCTGAGGTGCTCCAGTGTTAACAGTGATGGAGATGGAAGTGTAGTTACCCATGCGCACTGTCTGTGGTCTGTTGGTCAGAGTGTCCAAGACCCAGTTGCACAGGTGTGTATTCAGTCCAAGGTTGTGCAGTTTGATGGCCAGCTTGATGGGGGGGGGGATACTGTTAAAGGCAGAGCTGTAGTCGATAAACAGCATCCACACATAGCTGTCCCACTGCTCCAGGTATGATAGGGCAGTGTGGAGGGCCAATGTAAAGGCATCCTCAGCTGACCTGTTTGACCTGTAGGCAAACTAGTGTTGGTCCAGGGAGGGAAGTATGTTCTTCTTGATATGTGCTTAGACCAGCCACTCAAAGCACTTCACAACAATAGGGGTCAGGGTCACTGGACGGTTCTCATTCAGGGTCCTGACTGCTGCCTGTTTAGGAATGGGGTGTCAGAGATCCGGGCAGGCTTAGCACGAGGGCGTGGCATCATGCAGGCAGGGAACAGAAAGTGGACAACCCACTGGCAGCTCAGAAGACAAACTGGGATTTAAACAGAAAACACTGGAAATACTTATAAAACAAAAACAGACCATAAGGGGTCAAAAGTAAAAGGGGAAAAACAAAGACTAACTCCAAATGGAGCCGGTAACATCATACATTTCATCTAACAGCAAAACAACAACAATGAACCACTGGGGAACCGAACTCAGGCAGGAACTTAAATACGAAAACTGAACTGGGTAACGAGACAGCAGGAGTGAGACATAGGCAATTAACCAGTTGAGGAGGGTGCAGGACAACAAGCAATCAGGAAAACACACAAGGGCAGGTACAAGCACAGGCAACAGGTGGAACTAATTAACTCAGGGATTGGGAGGGGAAAACTAAGACACTGACAGAAACAAGGAAACAGAATCTACACTTGGGGAATAACAGCCAGGTAGAAAGACAAGCACAGGCACAAAGAATGAAACCAAATACAAATCATAAGACACAGGAACTAGAAAAACTCATACAAATACTAGGGAACAAAATACAAAAACAAAAACAGAGGAGGCAGGATTCAAACACATGACAAAGGGATTTGCCGGTAGTCATATGCTCAATATGCTGAGCCACATGGCTAATAGGGAGCAGGGGAAAACACAAAGACTAACAGGAGGGACAGGATGGCCAGCGACGCCTGTTAGCCAAACAGGGAAGGGACACAAAAGACTGAGACGACAGGAGCTGACCCTGACACGGGGATGAAGGTGGCATACTTGAGGCGGGTGGGGACGGTGGACTGTTTCAGGGAGATGTTAAACAGGCTGGTGAGGACTGCAGACAGCTGACTTGTGCAGGGTTTCAGCACTCATCCAGGGACACCGTCAGGTCCGGCTGCTTTGTTGGGGTTGATGTGCCTGAGGGCCTTTCTGACCTCATGTGGGCTGAACACCAGGGTATTCAGGGGGGCCTCCTGCACAGTCAGCTTGGTATGATGGTGGTTGGTGACCATGTCAAATCGTACGAAGAACTGGTTCAAGTCGTCGGGGAGGGATGAGGTCACCGTGCTGGTTTGATGGGTGTTGCTACTTTTGTCGTCGGTAATGGCCCTGATTCCCTGCCACATGCGCCGGGGGTCAGAGTTGTTGTTGAAGTGCTCCGTTTGTAAATTTCTTATGTTCTTATGTATTGGAAGACACATCCAAATCTCAGGGTGATTATTCCATATATGAACAGAATCAATCAATACCTCTATCACCTCATATACACTCACCTAAAGGATTATTAGGAACACCTGTTCAATTTCTCATTAATGCAATTATCTAATCAACCAATCACATG